GGAGGCTAACGATTTTGTAGCTGAAGTTATAGGACAAAAACAAAGTTTGGTGTTAATTGGTTTTTATGTAAAGTTTGGGAAACGTGATGTTCTTGTACTGGGGGGGGGGGGGGGGGTCTTTTCTGGGGCCAATAACGCGGAATGTACAAGCTTCTGGGAGACGTTGGTATTCCTCTGGTGTTTGTGCTCTCTTGGAAATGGATTTTTAACTGACCAAATATTTCTCAGCCTCCAGGCGACTGTTGGTACTAATTGTTTGGGCCGTTCCGTCCCGTCGAGGTTAAAAGGGAATCACAGGCTCCTCACCCGAGCGTCCTCACAGACAGTGAGAGGAAGCTTTTCAGGTGCGCTTATTATTCCCCCGTACCTGAAATTACACATTTGCCCCATCGAACCGAGTGTTGTAGACGGAGATGGGGGTGAAATTGTGGTTAATATCTTGTGTCTGTAGCCACGCACCGGCCGTCCGCACAGACGCGTGTAAAAATAGGACGTGGTTATTCGTGTCAAGGAACACTAACGACTGAAGTTGGGACGTGTTTGATGTCACGATGACAGAATTAGATCTGGGGTAAAAAAAAAAAGGAAAGTGCTCATTTGTTCTTCTCCAGCTACAGACCGTCCACAGCAAGAGTCAAACTTCTCATGGTTTATTGTGATGAGAAGCTAAAAGAAACTCAGAAGTGCCAAACTTCCACATTTTGTTTCGAGGATGTTCACAGAGAATGAGCAGAACTGAGCTGAATTGCATTTGCACTAAACTACTGTAACTTCTGTTTTTTTCCTGTGACTGATGCTTTTATAATCGAATTGTATTTATTCCACCTTGTAATCCATTAAATATTTATATGGTTGATCTGTACGACGTGTCCGTGCTTTTATTCATGAGTGGAACACGTTTAAAGACACGTTCAGTCGCTGGAGTCTGTGGTTGTGTGGTGAATGTTTCTGTAATTCAAAGACAAAGTGTGTATACTTGTGTGTGTGTGTTTGTGGTTCAGCCATTCACACACTGTCACAGAGAAATGTTAAAATTGTGCTGTGTGTGTGTGTGTGTTTGTGTGTGTGTGTTTGTGTGTCCTTGTATTGTTGCCAGGCAGATAGTGTCCTCCAAATGGCTGACCTCTGACATCAGCATTTCCTTGCCTCTCTCCCACCATCATCACTATGCCGCCAATTTCTCCCCAGCGACTCAAGGCGGCAGGCCCCCCCTCCGCCCCCCCCCCCGTTCCCCCGCGCAGATACGCTCTTACCGCTTCGCCTCCTCCGCCCTGTTTCTCCTTCCCGCCCAACCATTGTCGTATTTTTACTGAGGCAGTGAGCCTGGGCTATTTGTGGGCTATTATGACAGCCACATGTAAACACTCGTCACTCTCACCGGCATGTGCCAAAGCCTGAGTGAACCGGGGTCACGGCAACAATACTCCACTGTTCACTTTCACTCGGTGAGTCCGCGGCACAGTTTCATTCTTTCACCGGCCTTGAGCACGACTCAAACCGTCCTCTGGGTCCGACTGTTTCCAGCTGCATGAGACAAAGACTTTCAGTTGATGTCGTGGTTTTTTTTTCTGTTTGATGGTTTGTCGGTCGGTCGGTTTGTTTGTCAGCGGAATTACGCAGAAAACTACTGAACGGATTTCCATAAGATTTCGGTGGAAAGATGATACGGGGCCAAAAAAAGAACTCATTCAATCCAGGAAGTGTTTTAATGTTGTGAAAACAAATCATCAGTCGTTCATATTTCAATACTTTTATAGTATTTTTTATTAGCATGCTGACAAACATCATTTCATAAAACATATTTACTTAAAACATAATTACCCACAAGTACACTCCTGATGTGTTTGACATTTAGCACCACGGCTGAGAACCTCTGTCAATCGTAACAATACCTGGGTCAGATCACAGCTCTCTGAAGATCCCCGGAAACAGAGAAGTTAGGTTTCTACAAAATTACACACGTTCAAAGACTCAGAGTTAAAATCCACACACCTACGTATGAGTGGCAGTAAAAACCTGAAAGATTGTGTCTCACAGTGATTTGTATTAGTCCGTATCAGAATCTTCACAAGGCAGTGAACAGCTATATTCAGAAAGTGTCCATCTGGTTTCCTCCGGCCTTTTTATTTCACGCTTCTCTCTCCAACTGCTTGATGTCGAAGGACATTAGAACAGCCATGTCGCTGGACTCCCCCGAGGACGCCGCCAGTTTCAGTTGCTGGAGACCGTTTCCACTGGAAACCTCACCCTCCCAGACTCTGCTCTTGTTCAGTTTGAGATCAGTTCGCGTCTCTCCCACCACGCTCACCTTCTGGGCCCCGGGGACCCTCACCCTGAAGCGGACCCAGGAGAGGGGCTCCAGCAGGCCCACGCGGGGCTCAAAGAGCACGCAGCCTTTCCTCCAGGCTGAGTAGACGCAGGGGAACGGAGGCCCCGGCTGATCGCAGCTGTTCCTCAGAACAAAGTCACACATGGGGTTGAAATCTCCACCAGGGGCGGTCCTGGCGTACAGGCCCAGCCGATACACCCCGGCGTCAGGGAGGCTGACGCTCACCGTCACCTTGCTGTCTGTGTACGTGCAGAAAAGGTGGCGTGAAAGTGGAATAGCTGCTGTTTTCGTCTCTTCTCTGCTGAGCACCGTGTGAAGCTCGAGGTCCCGCTGGTTGTGGAAGGTGATGTTACACTTGCCCTGCTGTGTGCTCACCAACGCCGCCGTATGGCTGAATTTGGACAGCCCCGCCTCCGACGTGCGGGTCCCGGGACCGCACACAGAGCCCAAGTTCGGAGGGAAGAGCTCATCCAGTCCGACCACCTTCCCTTTGCAGTGTAACAGGATGTTTGCGGCGTTCTGGAACTTGACCTCTGTTTTCTCGTAGTCCCGCACAAACACCGACAGGCGGTAGAAGCCACGTAACGAACACAGGACGTGGCAGGTCAGAGCATCCGGCTGAATCTGAGTAGCCAGGCAGCGCTTGGCTACAGCAGCTTCCAGCTCTGGATGAACCAGTTCACACAGCACCATCAGAGGCCTGGATGTCTTCAACACCAGCTCAAAGACGCCGTCTTCCACCTCAGCCACCTCGCTGCCCTGGCTGCTGCCTGTGATGCCCAGAGACCCGGCGACAGGCTGCAGGCCCCAGGACAAGAAGGGATTCTCTGGGATCTCCTCCCTGGCCCGGGGGGTCTGACACTCGACTGTGAAGGAGCAGACCCACGTCAGAGGTGTGACGGCTGCTTCGGGTCTGGCAAACACCTTCACGTCGTATGTGCCGCTGGCAGGAGGCAGGAGCTGCAGCTTCATGTTTCGATGGGAGACGGTCAGGAGGCCGAAGGACGAGTTGCCGGAGTCTTTCTGCTCTGACGCTCCACAGTGGAGGAGGTCCTGGTGCTGAGTGATCTCATAGGTGAAGGTAGCAGGTCTGGAGAAGCCGAGGGACACGTTCGCCTCACCTCCGTCTACAGGGGAGAGATGATTTTAATCATTTCACTGGAAACACAGAAAAAGAGGATTTGTTTGAAGCCGTGTTGGTTTGTAAACTCAACAGAACTGAGGGCAGACCTGTGACCATGTGGAAGTGATGAGGCTGAATCAGTCTGAGCCCCATGGTGAAGAAGGCCGAGGTCTTGAAGACCCTCCTCTCAAACTCCTCCAGGGGTATGGGCGTCTCCAGGAGCTGCCATTTCTCCTCATCGGGGAAGTGCGACTCGATGAACTCCTCTGGGTCCGTGAGGAAATAGAACTCATCGAACCTTGGGGGGAACAGATGGAGGGAGACGGCTGGTTTGAGGCTCAACTCTCTGCTGGTTTCAGGCGTATGAACATAAACAAAAGGTCGAACTGATGGTTTCAACATTAACTTTCTGCCAGAAGTCAACGGTTCAGATCAGACTTGAAGTTTAGTTTTATTACGACACAGAAATATTTTCGTCTACATTTGGTTTTAATCCCTCTTCCTCTTTTCAAACCTTTTGACGAAGCTCTCGTGTTCCATATCCACTCGTCCCGCTCCCCAACAGGCGTCCAACAGGAACCACTGTCCCCCGAGAAGCACGGCGTTCCACAGGTGATCCGATTTCACATTGTTGAGGCTCTGGCCCTGACGGTACCCGATGCCCTTACTGTGGCCGGGCACCTCTTGGCACTCGATACCCACCTCTCTGTAAACACAACCCAAACCCAGCAATCACAACCTTTTCTGTTACGTCCAGTGTCCTTAAACTTCACGGACACAACAGTCATTTGTTGGGGCTGATGAATGGTCACCAGTAATATGCTATATCTTTATATAATATAAAAGTTTTGCGGTGTTTACCTGCACATCTCTGTACAGAGGCTGGAGTAGCCGCAGCAGACGCCCCGACCGGCCGCGATCACCTCCTCTGGGGAACTCAACTTCTCTGAGCGGCCGAGGTACCCGTTCACGTCGTACTCTGCGAACACAACATTCCTTTGACTACAAGGTTTTAATATCTGCTCTGACACACAAAGGACGACTAATCCTAAAATCCTAAAATTGCAAATTACAGAATGACGGGATTTATGTGCATATTTATGTAGTTCAGTAAACGCACCGATGTTGTGGCACAGCCAGACCCAGATGGCACGAAGCCTCTCCAGCTCCGTCCTGACTCCCTGTGTGATGCTCTGTACGATTGTCTTCACATCATGTACACACTTTTCCTTCAGCTGCAACACACACACACACACACAAAAGATATTCTGTTAGATAAGATGTTTTTTTTCTCATCATCTTACAGCATCATCCTATTTTCCAGAGTTCCTCAGTGTCACTCAGTGTATTGATCGACCCCTCCATATTCAAGGATGTGAGCTGTGCTGTTTGTTATGGTTTTATATATT